TAATTTTCTCAACCAGACTAGTTGTTGCGGCGGTTAAAGCGCGGTAGTCGTCGCGCTGCGCATGTGCCACATTTGTGTTGATAAACATTGATTCTCCCACAATCCAGAGCGCTCTTCAAATGGAAATCACAAGTATGAGGTTTGACCTGGGCGCAACTTGCACTGAATACCGCCGGTGACTCCTTCGATGCATCCAATAACATGAAAATTACTTAATTAAAGCTTGGAAACTTCTCAGTTCGTACTCGTTGATCTGCGCAACAGTCAAAGTCGCCATCTGTTTATATGAGACCCATATATCTCGCACATGCGCAGCGCGACGACTACAGCGCTTTTAGAATAAGATATTTTGTCATTAATTCGAAAAGAAGAGAACAACTAAATATTTGAACTTACTTATAACAAAAATCTGCTGCATGACAATAATAGTTTGCTAGAGATCCATGCACTGGGGGTGTGGAACCACACACTATATCAGGACATAGGTTGTATCTTCCTCCTTTGCAGTAATCACATTTTCTACATGGTACAGATGGTTCAATGGCTACTCTGTCACCTATAAATCATACCATATGTGGTCTATCAGAAGCAAATCTCGTACTTAGTTTCACTGCAAGCAATGGTTTTTTGGTCACACGCATACACTTAAGTAGTTAACACTGTTCACTGTGACAACAGCGAATTGCTCATTCACGCTATTCACAATTTGATATTGTATTCATCAGTTCCCAAAAAAACATAATTTGACTTAATTTAGGCCCAAGAAAAGATTGAAATGTTATGAAAACGCTTTCTGAAACTGATCACCCACCTACTGAAATATCTCCTATACAATGGATATACTTATAATTAGTAAGATAGGGGTATGAAACCACCTACATGTACAGTGGCATACAATAAAGATAATGTGTTTATTAAACCTGTAATTTGTGACATATATTTAGTAAACGTAAAATCTTCATCACATATCTCACTACTTGAACATCAACATCATATGAAGTCTTTGTAATTAAAATACAATATTTGCCAACATACCAACTTTAAGAGTACTGACCCCTTTACCAAGGGCTGCCACTACTCCACTTGATTCATGTCCCAATATCATTGGTGCTTTCACGATAAAATCTCCAATTTCTCCATGAGTCCAGAAGTGAACGTCTGTACCGCAAATCCCCACTGAGTCAATAGCAAGTAGAACCTCTATATTTATGGAAAAATAAAATAATGAACACGCTAGGCATATATTTCCAACTTAATATTAGACAATTCCTAAAGTCTTATTGGGATTTATTGTTAAAGCTGGGGAGTCGTCACCTGCGCATGCGTCAGGTGGCCATGGCGTGTCATTGTTTACAAACAAGCGTCTACCCACGAGCCTTTGCGTTTTTAGTGTGTGTTGTTATCGTCGCTAGGGACTCAATTCCCGTGCGTGCGCAGGTGACGCCTCTCCCGCTTTAGTAACATCATATATATTACACCTTTCACTGTCTAATATTCTCCCGCCCAAAATTCCGTGTAAATATTTCCATATTTTGTATAGTTACTGGGATACTAAATTTCATCATCATTTTGGTTCATTTGGACAGTTTCAGATATTGTTTTTGTTAAGATTTGTTGAAGTTTGACCAGCCAAAACACAAACATTTTGTTGCTGGTGCCAAATGTTGATAATGCCACTTAATGGGTTGAATTTTTGACTCTCGTGTGCGTAGCACACAATGGAAGTCTTTGCAGTTAGCCTGTCTGTGTGTGTGTACGTGTGTATGAGAGTGTGTCCGTCCGTTCCACTGATATCTCAAGAACCGTATGTTGTTTTTTAAAGAAACTCGGTGCTTAGATGCTTTATGCTAATGCGCATAATGATTAATCAATTTTCGACGTTCCCACTGATATCTCAGGTACTAATCATCACATTTCAAAGAAACTTACATAGATACATAGGACAATGGACAGACAGATATGTGAAATATTAATTACCTAATTTGCATAATTAATCAAATTTCAGCGTTTGATATTTCTAGTACTATCACACAATTATTTTCAATGAAACTTGATAAATAAATTTTCTAAAACAATACAGAGACTTGATTAATTTTGGATAAGAATGTGTGCATATCAATCAACTAATTTGCATAATTAGTTAATTTTCAGGTTTTAGACTTATATCGCGGATATATGATTAGTTTTGGGTTAAAATCAGTGCATATTAAATACCTAATTTGCATAGTTACTAGTAGCCAATTTTCAACTACATATATACTCTAACATAATGTGATGATCTAATTAGTTTTAGGTTCATATACATCTATAATAATTACCTAATTTGCATAATAATTCACTTTTCAGCTTTCCACTAATTTAGTTAGAATTGATCATCACATTGCAATGAAACTCTGTAAATGTGCGCCCTGAAATAATATACAAACCTAAATATATGTATAATAATTGCTTAATTTATATAATGATTCATTTGGTTCATTGAGCTAGACCATAGACGTGACTAGTTTAATGTTGATAAACATGCATATTGTTTATCTATTATTATCCTATTCCTGGTATCTTAAAAAATCAGATTTTGAATTGAATTCATCACAGCGGTTCTAATTAATTAATTAGACTAAAAACCATGGATGAATAAGCGAATATATTTTCTGTATGTATTATAAATTTTGATAATATAAATCACATTGTTTTCATGTTGTGCATTGCAAATAGCAGACATATATTAGTTCCTTATCTTCTTGTTTGAAATGCAAGTCTCAAATTTTTAATTAATTGTAATGTGTCTCCAATACTCTCAGCACAAAGGGATTCATTCTAAGCTTTCTTTGATTTAAATGTATACTAGCCTATGGTTCATATATACAGAGTGTTGTTGTTATAGATGTCTAATGAGAATTAAACCACATAATATATATAATCGAGACTCTTAGGTTAAATTAAATTAAATTAGATTTGTAAATATGCACACTGAATACGATGTAAGTTAGAAGACGTTGTTTTCTTTTGAGGTCAGTTACACTGTAGTTACATGTATGTTTGCACACAGGAGGCGACCCTCGAATAGTTTCAAAATGAAATGAGTGGTATAGTGAGGCAAGGGTTGCTTCACATCTTTACAAAGTGGAAACGCAACTTACATAAAGATACCCACAACTCTGTAGGAATGTTAAAGTGTAACTTAATCCAGTCGTAGTTAACTCCATGGCGTTCTGTTGGTTTTGTTGTTGTAGCGAACAAATGTGTGGTATTTGTTGACCTTGGTGACCTTTTTTCCACCGGGTCCAAGAAAAAGGACCCGCAAAAACAATGCAAATTGAAATTTCGTTATGGGAGTTAACTTGTTTTTTATGTTGATTTAATATCTGTGTAAAACAATAAATAATATGCATACCATTTTCACCAGGTGAAGGTTTTTCCACTTCTACCTACAACAGAGCAGAATACAGTACTATATTCACTTTATTATGAATGACACAGGTGCATCGGTCGTTGGTCAAAGTAAGTAAAAATTAAATAATACAGCATATAATATGAACAATTACTGGTTTATGTGCGTTTCTAAGCTATGACATAAATTAGGTCAATTGGGTCAACCGTGTTCATTCAAGTCAACCTGGAGTCTGGGACAGGTTTATTTTTCGTATAGACTTCTACAAGTTCTATAGCAACTGGTGGTTTGATCAATAAAAATGGACATGTCTCAGCAGTTCTATTTTAGGTTTTTAAATCCTGGCACCGAATCGTCACCAATTGTTTACAAAGTTTTATACTTTTAACATAAAATTATAATCCGATATTATTAACAACATTTCATAGTATTACTACACATTACATAAAACAGTTAAAGGGGAACCGCTCAATCCCATGGATTGCACCAAAGAATCATGGGACACTATTGTTTATGTTGTTTACAATGTTAATCTATCTTTTGTTATCCATTGTTATTTTAATCCAGAAAGTAAATTTGTTGTGAAATTAAGCTTAACTGGAAGGTGCATCTTTAACGTTGTTGGAAAAGCTTCTATTGTATGCCCAACCTCTAATCCTAACCTTAACCGTCACACCTAGCCAATTCAATTGTACATGTTCCGTGTAGATAAATATAGGTGTACTCAGCACAGACATATACTCTGTGAAATAACTCTTGTGCTGTCAAAATGTGTATAAAAATAATTTATTCATTGTCTTTTGTCTTTTATTTTCTATGAAGCTTAAGCATGTTTGTTACAAAATGTAAACATTTCACGTCACAGTACAACGCCCTATGCATGCAGTTACTACATGTTTGGTAATCTGTCTGACCCCAAACAGTGTACATCAATTCGCTGTGCATTTAACTGAGACAAAATTAAGGGTCACAGCTCTTACACATGAAATACAATTTTAAGTCAAGGATTTATGATTATCTTTCATGCAATTATCATTTTCATAGCAAACTCACCACTTCAAGGTCCCCCTTTTTGCGAAGAAGGACAGCTAGGTTTTTGCTTTCTCCTGCCATTGTACGATTGAGATTCCAGTTTGGAGTGAATCAGATAACTTACGGCGAACGCGAACTGTTGCACTCAATCAGCTGGCGTGACCTCGTCAACAATATTCAAAGTTAAATATTGAATACAGGTCAACCATAGAGGACGTCATAGGGTGACAATCATACGGCAATAAATACACATCATGTGGATGTCTTGGATCTAGTGGGGGGGGGGGGGTAAGATTTATTACTAGCAAAGTTATAAGCTGGTAAGATGGGGTACTAGTATATCAGTCCCCCACTAAGAAACGGGCTACTAGCAAAGTTTAAGGTATAGATGTGTGTTCGTGGGCACTCGGAGTGATTTCTTTTGCTTTTCTTACCCAGACAGTCTTGGCTAGACAGTGTTGAAATTTCGGAACATTGTCAATGCTGGAACATGCCCAAAAAAAGATTTTAAAATATAGGTATTCGAGGCACGCGTATGTGATTAAAAGTCCCGAAAGTTTGTTTACGTTGCTCTTTGATTGACAAGTCACTGTTGATGTTATATGCAAATGAGTTGCTGGTCTCAGTTACGGTGCGGCGATATGTAACTTCCTGTCCGCGACCCTGTTTAACTTACCTCAGGCGCAATTAACTAGTCTTGCAAACTACTAAAAAAGACAAGACGTAGACGCTTCCAGCATGCAAGCGGAATACAAAAAAAAACATGCAGTTGTAAATGATAAGTAAACTTTTTCACTCTTATCTCGCAACATGTCGCCAACTTCTAGCCTGGCAGCTTCCAGTGGAGTACTGTTACATATTTTTTTCTCCGATGCATTATAAAACTGACTAATTACACATTTGTCGTTTCGCTGTAACGATCACCGTGCTGATAGCATTGCGATGTAGTAGTGGATAAACATCATTCAGACCATTGCTGTGCTGTCATCGATAACTAACTTTTCAGTGGCAAAATACACAAACGTGAAATGCTCGGTTAATTAAAAATAACAAATACCCCGAAAATTACAGAAACACCGGCAACGAGATGCTGTTTTTAAACACCGCGGAAAAATCACGCACTCTGCGATGCCATCTCGGTTACCTTAATCGGAAACCCCCTTGTCAGCTAGCATACGTCTGTAGCGATGTCGCAAAGTACGTTTTACGGCCGTGCTCGGCGACCTCTGGTACTATGGCACTCTATGAATGAGGTATTTCCAGAAGTCAGGATTCGTTTTAATTTTTATCGACCCGTCTCGTCTGCTCGTAAGTTGAATGAAACCTGTTTCGATTTACAATAGTTGTCTTCCATTTCGACTTTTTCTCACCGGCGTTTGAGCGATTTAGTACAGAAACTGTGAGTAGCCGTTGTGTAGCGAAATATTAGGCCCATTTCAACCTGGCCGTCTAACTACGCACGGTCCATTTCACCGGAGATCGTGAAAAACTGCGTCATACAGAGTGTTTTTTAAAGGTTTGGGGAAAGGTAAATTTAGACTCAACCCACCCAATGGGGATCGCTGTGTTTATATAACTGTATGAATACGTAATCGTAATCCATTATGCCACTCCCTAAGTGGACAAGATAACACGACGCCATGACAGTTTTCTGGCAAGGTTTTGACTCCGCGGACGATTTTACGTCCGTTTTCCTAGTATTGTAAATATTTTTATTTTATTTTTTTATCTGACGATTGAACATCAGCAAGCGTCGGTGTATGATAGATTTTGGCATGTCGTCGTGATGCAATAGCCATTTTTGTGGACGATTAACGTCACTTTCATAAAACGACCATTATCTCCGTTCGTGTTTTCTGGTTGGTCAGAGAAATTGAAAATTAATTAGCTCCCACAGGTTTTGTCAGTTTGTCTTGACATTTTCACAACATATTTACGAACAAAAGGACGTCTGGGCTGATTTTTAAAGCTTTGCATTCTCGGACAATGACATTCGAAGTGTGAAATACTGACCGGGATTGACTATACGGCACACATCCTGCTTGACAACTTTGTATTATGAAAACAAAACATGCTAAACATATGCCCGGGCACCCCTTTGTTAATAAACAACTGATAAACGTTGTGTGAAAGTTTCACTCAAAATAATCAAGAATTGTGCGAGCTATTTAGATTTGAACTTCCATGGTAAACTGAAAAACACAAGTGGAGATAATGGCTAATTTGCATAACCATTCACTCAGTAAGACTCTTAAGTTTGCTAATGCTCATAATTAAAATGGCTGTAACAGTTTAAAATTTAAACCTGTTATCGTTTTGTAAAAAGTTAAAAATTAAATATAGTGCATAATATGGAGATCCCGTCATTACTTTTTTTTCACCATGTTTCTTTTTGATTATTTATGTACAGCCTTGCTAAATCTTGCTAAGCATTCAAAAGAGAGAATGTTTGTACCAGTTTTCTATATTTTAAAATTGTCTTATGAGTTTGTTCCACTATTCATAATGCTGTGAAATTGTAACAGTCTATAGCCAAGACTGCTTGGATAATAATAAACAAAAAGAAAAAGAAAATTCGCTCCCAAGTGCCCACGAACCTGCATCTATACCTTAAATGTGCATTTAAAACACGCTAATAATTATCGTGGCCGCAAAAGCCTCATTAACATAATTTATATAGTATTGTGACATAAATTGTGAGTGAAAAGTACAGATCCCTTGCTGTGTGAATGAAAAGCACACATGTTTAAATACTTTGCAACAACCCATTGCACATGTTTATTTTTTAGACTGCTGATACAGTCACTGGATTGTGTTGTCAGCAGAATTTGAGATACATAAATCCTGTCTCTCTCTGTGGCATAATGGTAATGATTTGAGCACAGCCGGCAAACTCAGCTTCCCTATTTTTGCTTCGCATAAGGTTAGTAGTTAATCAACGCTTAAGATATAATTTTTGGGAGTGGTTTTAATGAAATAGTTGCGTAAATTATGAAACAGGTACGTCTGTGGCAAAATACACACGATTTTGTCCCAACTTTAAAAGTGACACCTACCATAATGCAAGAATACGTTATATAACATACTTGTGGTGACTGACCACAGGGTATAAGCAATGTTTTCCCGAATTCTTGTAAATAGATTTAGAGTCAAAAGAACAAGTACAATACTAGAGTTACAAAAGTACATAATTTAGTACCATGATTGAATTCAAAATACTTCATTTTTTTATTACCAATTTATCAAACAGACATTCAAAATCGTCTAAAATTGCAGCCTTTTCTGTTGTTGTTGTGACTATATATTTACTATGTTGACACTGTAATAAGTTCTGCAGCATCAGAATTCAATATAATGCCATTATACATTGAAACCAGTGTCTGTATTTCAGTGCACTGATGATATCAGCAATTACACAAAACTGTCAAGATGATAATAACTAAGCTTGATAGCGTAACTTTTATTGTATTGTCATGAATTTGTTTTCGTGTATCTGTTGGTCGACTTAATTAGTTGATTATTAGCGAATTGCTGTGTTATGTCTGTCATCGTTCAGGTCTATTTGAAGTTTTGGACGGAACTTGGCTCAGTGATTTGGAACTAATTACCAGATAGCCGCCGCTTTTTAGACTACTCATTTTGACAGTTTATATCCGTAGTTATTAATGTAGTGAACGATTAATCAAAAGATATGACGTATTCAGTACTTAGTGTGATTGGCTTTATGATTGAAGTTTACGCCTTAGAGTCTTTTTACTGTTTTGTAATTGGTTAGAGTTTTGAAAATGAATAAAGAGAGTTTGAGTTGGTCTTGGCGAATACTCTACGATAGACGCAGTAGAGAGAGAAGGCAGTCCTGGGCAGTCGAGTCCAGTCCAGGGGCGAGCCTTGAGGGAGTCCAGTCTTGGGGCGAGCCTTGACGCAGTCCAGTCTTGGGCGAGTCTTGGTTCAGCCTTGTGAGAGTCTTGGGGACTTTTCCCCAGGGCGCTGTGTCTTACAGAGTGCTCGACAGACCGACTAAGACGAGAGCTGAAACGTATTTCGTTGTGTGTGCCTTATTTGACTGTAAAGTTAAAGTGACTTTCCCGATCCCGTACCTCAAGGGGACGATATAGAGACGAGACGAGATTCCCCCTGGCAAGGGTGGAGAACCCGAGAGAGAGAAGATTTCCCCCTGATAGTATTCACTTGCCATGCA